TCGGCCTGTCCTTTCTTCCAGTATCTTTTCTGTTACTGCCCCTTTCCAAATCAACAAATGCTTCTTTTAATGCCCATTCAGGACAAAGGGCCTGTATATAGAAATTCTCTTGTGGTATTCTCAAATTTCCCTTCTTCCTATCTCCTCCTGGTCCCTCTCACTCTCTCTGTTTCCTCTCAAAGAGGATGGGTCCTGGGCCTTCTAATGCTGAGGCAGCACAGCATGGTGGATACAGTGCTGGGTGTGGCATTCAGGGCTAAAACACCATCCCCATACTTAGTAGCTGTGTGATTTTACTCCTCTTTAGCTTTACTTCCTTATCTGGAATAATATGAATGATGATGATTCCTAGACTTCCTGCCTCATGGTGCCTGCCTCAAATGACATAATATATGCCATACGCTTTGCAAATCTTAAAGGGATATAGACAGATGCATAGATAGATGTATATATGTGTGTGTATGTATATATCTGTGTGTATGTACACACACACACACACACACACACACACCCTCAGCTATCCTCTTCCTCCTCCTCCTCATCATCATGACTATTAAATCCTATGGAACAGTAGGTTACACATTGTTCAGAAGTGTCCTCTGAAGGCTTCAGTAATATCTCTAACATTAGGATCCCCAGACCTGGGATGCTCAATTCATGCCCTTGCCTTGAGGGATCTCCAGGACTAGAATTACTGAGTAAAGAAAACGGCAGTGAAACTGTCCTCTTCTGCCTCTTCTCAAGCTTGTCACAAGGAACAGAGGGACCTGGGAATTGTGGCCTGTGACTTGGTAAGGAGAGAGCTGAGCAAACCCTTGGAGTTTTGGTTGAATCTGTAAGGTCAGAAATACAGGAAGTGTAAAAGAGTTTGTGAAAAGCAGCTATGGTTAGGCAGAGCTAAGCCTGCCCGGTGAAGAGAAATACAACTTCCCTTAGGAGATTACATTTCTATAGTGCTTTAAGGTTGAACAAGGCACCTTCCTCACAACAACCTCTCCAGGCTGCACTCTGGACTTCCTCCACCAAGCCCCAACTTGGATACTTTTATCCTTGCGCCCCTTTCAGTTTCCTCTTAGGTGTAGTCTTCCTCCATTAGAACGTAAGCTCCTAAATTGAGAGGATGCCCATCAATTGGGAAATGGCTGAACAAGTTGTGGTAGATCAATGTAATGGAATACTATTGTGCTCTAAGAAATGATGAGCAGGCAGACTTCAGAAAAACCTGGAAAGACTCGTATGGTCTGATGCTGAGTGAAGTGAGCAGAACCAGGAGAACATTGTACACAATAACAGCCATGTTGTGCGATGACTAACTTTGATAGACTTAGCCCTTCTCAGCAATACAAGGATCTAAGACATCTCCAAAGGCCTCACGAGGGAAAATGCTACCCACATCCAAAGAAAGAACTATGGAGTTTGAATGCACATTGAAGCATACTATTTGCTATTTTTTTCTTCTGTTGTGTTTTGTTTCCTCTTTCTAATGGTTTCTCCTATTGGTTCAAATTCCTACTTAGAACATCACTAATGTGAAAATATGTTTAATAGGAATGTATATGTACAGCCCATATCCGATTGAGTGCCATCTTGGGGAGGGAGGTAGGGAGGGAGGGGGAGAAAAATTTAAAATTCAAAAGCTTATGGAAGAGATTGTTGATAAGCCAAAATAAATTAATAAATAAGAGACAATGGAAAAATTAAAAAATACAAGGGGTGTGTAGATAAGGAAAAAAAAAAAGAATGTAAGCTCCTAGGGGGCAGCTAGGTGGCACAGTGGATAGAGCTCTGGCCTTGGAGTCAGGACGACCTGAGTTCAAATCTGACTTCAGACACTTGACACTTACTAGCTGTGTGACCCTGGGCAAGTCACTTAACCCCAACTGCCTCACCAAAAAGGAAACAGGGAAAAAAAAAAAAAAAGAATGTAAACTCCTTGAAGGCGAGGTTTGTCTTTCTACTTATATTTGTATTCTAGACCCTTAGCACAGTGCTTAGCACACAGTAAGTCTTTAATAAGTGTTAGTTGACTAATTTTACTGCACAAGTGTCATTTTACATATAAGGAAAATTGAGGCTTAGAAAAAAGGAAATGAATGGCCTAGAGTTACAAAGGTGACGGTGGTGGTGGTGGTGATAGTAGTAGTAGTAGTTGTAGTAGCAGTAGTAGTAGTTAATGGTAATAGTAATAACAACTAGCACTTATATAGCACCTAAAGATTTGTAAAACACTATAAATGTCTCATTTTATCCTTACAACAATCCTGCTATTAATTATCATTTTGCAGATGATGAAACTGAGGCATACAGAGATGAAGTGACTTCTAGGGTCACCTAAGTATGTGAGGCAGGATTTGAACTCAGGTCTTCCCGACTCCAGGTCCAATTTGCTATCTTCTTCACCACCTAGTTGTTTACTATATGGATAGTAAGTGGCAAAGCTGACACATGAACCCATGCTCTGATACTTGCTCTTTCTGGTATGACATACTGACTGCCACCAGTCCTTTCTCTCCTGTCTTCACAGTCTGGCCCGGCCCACAATGACCCTCTTCCCTGCTCAAACCAGAATTCAGGCTGCTACTCTGCACATGAGCTCCAAGGATACAGAAACTAAAGACGGAGTTCTATACTGAACTGATGGAAAAGTATACTTGTGAGAGGAGGCAATCCTCCAGGGGAGTGTCTGGCTCATCAGTAACACAGGCCCTTCATGCCTGGGAACCTTTCCTTATAAATAGTGGTGGCAGTGTCCTCAGGTCCCTAAGTAGTATGGTGGTAGAGATAAAAACCTAGCCAAAAAGTTCAGCAGGAGTAAACTCTGGGTGCTGTTCCTTTTCTGCTTAGGATATCCCTTATACCCTAGACATGGTGTATACCCTAAGTGGAGTGTTTCTGTAACTTTTCAAGCTATAAAGTAGATCAGCAATTTGAGAGTGCCACATAGCATGGCACCTCTGTGTCACAGGCCATAGGTTGCTAACCCCGGCAGTTCAAACTCCTTAACCTACCGTTCAAGGCTTTCCACAGAGTGACCCCACCCAACCATACCAGCCTTATCTCTCCAGGCTTTCCCGACACACCCTCCACTCCAGGCAAGCCAATCTTTTCCTCACAGTTAACTGAATCCAAGCTATAGTCATTCATGCCTTCCCCCATCTCGATTATTTAATATGGAGAAAAAGCTTTACCTTAAGATACAGATTTACTTAGAAAGTGATTTTCTGCATTCTCATGGCTCACCCAGCTCATCTCACCTCCTTTATGAAGGAGGCCTTGCAGACAGCCCCAGCCTACAGTAATTTCACCACTTCTGACTTCCCCATGTGTTAACAATACTGAATGCTTACTTCCAGTCTAAATTACACAGTGTGGATTACTGCCTCATATGGGTTGGTCTAGGAGAATTTGTCTTCTACCCCACAAAGACTGTAGAACAGACTAACAACCAACAGTTGTTTTCTAAATTATTTCACGGATGTTAATGTTTTCTCTCCAATAGGCTCCAGGTTAGGATATCAGGTTAGGTTAGGAAGGCCTGGATTCAAAATCCTGCTTTAGACACTTACTAGCTGTGTGACCCTAGACATGTCATTCTACATCTCTGTGACTCAGTTTCCTCATCTGTAAAATAAGGGGGTTGGACTCAGGGGCCTCTAAGGCCCCTTCCAGATCTAGATCAATGATCCTATGATTTGTGTACTTACTCTATTCAACGAGATCCACAGTTTCAGTAAGGCTAAAAGGGTCTCAAGTGGGAAAAGTTTAAGAAGCCTCGCTCTGTATACGGTATAGTGTAATAAAATACTAGACCAAAAATTACTAGGTGCAGGACCTTGGGCAAGTCATTTCTCCCTCTGTAAACTGAAAGGGATGAACTTGATTTTCATGTTGCCTTCCTGATCTAACATCATGATGAGTCCAAAATTCTAAATTACTATCCTAGTATCACTTTGGATGGGACTGGACAGAGAGTAAGAACTCAAGGAATACTTGTAGTACAATGGCATAATGGAAACAGTCACCATGTACTTAATAAAGCTGTATGACCTTAAAACAAACCCCCTTCTCCTCTTGGGGCCTCAGTTTTCTTATCTATAAAAAGAGAGAGTTGGATCAGATGACCTCTTGAGTCTCTCAGCTCTCAAGCCCATGAATCTATGCTTGATGAATTAAACCCTATCAGTATAGCAGAAGGGGTACCAGCCTGGCCGACGTGGCTACAACCAGACTGCCTAGAGCAATGCTTTTCTCTAGCCCCACTCCTGTTTTAGACACCCCTCTGATGAACAGGAGGACTGAAGTGTCAGTGGACATGCTCCTGCCTCTGAGGAGAAAGACCTAGGGAGAACAGCAGGTGTCCTGCTCCCTTATCCTCTGTAAGCCCTCTGAGCCTTTTCCTCCCTTTTTCACTGCACGAAGAGTGACCATATTTAAATATGGTTTACAAAGTGCTCATAACTACCCCATGGAAAGTTAGCAAAAGATTATCATGTCCAATTTGCAAATTAGAAATCTGAGAAACAGAGAGGTTAAGTAACTTAGGATCCAAGGATCATAAATCAAGAACTAAAAGGGACCTCAAAGACCATCTAATACAATCCTCTCATTTTGCAAATAAGAAAACTGAGGCCTAGAAGTTTAAGTGATTTGCCCAAGGTCACACAGGTGGCAAATTTCAGAGATGGGAACTGAACTCAAAGCCTTTGCCTCTGGAGGCAGAGTTCACTATACTGCTTTCTCAGGGTCATACAGCTAGCACATGGCAGAACAAGGATTTGGGTTGAACACCAATGTTCTTTTCACCACACATCTGTTTGTCCCTAACCTGGCAAGCTGAATGAAGGAAAGGTGACTGCCCCATAGAAGGAGCCCAGGAAAACAAGCTGCATTCCCATATGTGATGTTCTGGCTCACTCCCACTCCACTCAGGGACCAGAGGCCAGAACCTTGTAGAGGTTAGAGTGACTGCCTGGCTAGAGGCACCATTCCTAGGACCTTACCTTCTTCCAGGTCATTGCGTGCCGCTGCTTCCAGCAAGGTGATACTCGGGGGGAAGAGTACGCATTTCTCCTTGATTACAGCAGTGGTTTTACGCTTCTTTTCCACATGGCCCTTCTTGCCCTGGGCCTCCTTCTCAGTCTGGGCCCACTTCTTCAGTTGTTGGGCCCGCCTCTTCTGTGCATGCTTAAGTCGTTCTTGGGTACCCATCCTGCCCACCATGGGCATTTCTGCCAGGAGCTCCAGATGTTCAGCCATGGTGAAGGGCTGCCTCCGGGTGGGGTGGGATAAGTTAGAGTAAGGGAGGGGAGGGAACAGGCTAGCCTGGGCCTGGACCCAAGGGATGAGGCTGGTGGCCTGATCCAAGCTCTCCGAGGGCATCCCCTGCCCAACACCTACTCCTCCTTGGGATCTCGCTGTAGCTATTGTTCAATTAGCTGCTCCATAATCCGAGCCTTTGGCCCCAAAGGCAAGAAACTGCCTCCATAGTGCTGACTCTGGCTCTCAACAGTGCTACCTAGACAAATCTGTGGAGAAGGCTGGGGTCCAGGAAGCAGTCTATCCAAATGACTCAATCCTAGTCTGGGAACTGGTCACTATCTGCCTTCCCCCCTCCCCAAAGCTCCCCAGTTCTGGTTCCTGAAGCCCTAGACCTCAGTGTCCAGAGACTGGGGCCCAAGTACCTTTCCCGTGACAGCTGGAGAATAGGTAGAAGGAAAAGCTGGGCAAGCAATCGCCTCAGTGCCCCTGACCCTCTGGCCTGTCACTGTGCTGATTAAGTTCAGTGCCCAAGACATTGAAGATCTATGCCCACCCCCACCTTGCTCCTTTCTCCCGTCCCCTCCCCCCACAGGGTCAGGGTGCACAGCTGGTATGTGTGGTGCACAGCAGGCAGGATCCACTCGGCAGGGAAGCAGTTATTGAGACAGAGGCCAGTCTCAGTCCAGGGTCTGCTGCTAATTACCCTGATAAGGAGGCTCCAGCTTCCCAAGCCACTGAAGGGCAGGGGAAGGGAGAACAATCACCAGTAAGTGATGGTCCCTCCAAGGGTACTGGCAGTACCCCTGACTTCCTCCTTCCAAGTCAGAGAATCAACAGGTCCAACCAGAGAGCTCCCCATCATCAGACCCTCTCCAATCTTCCGCTCCTTTTTCCTTTGGCCCCTCCCGGCTTAGTCAGAATGTTGAGCTTTCCAGTGTCAGTTTATAGCCCCCATTACCATCATAAACGGATGGAGCACCAGTGAGGCAGCTCCTCCCCAAAGGGAGGCAACAGGAGATCAGCTATCAATGGAGGAAGGGAAGGAGGTTGTCAGGATGGTATGCTGATGGGGTCTTTCTCTGCCAAGCTCTAGAAGTGTCTCCTTTCCAAGGCTCAAAACTGGTACCTGATCCACCAAGGCTGTGTTGGAGTTAGGCTGGCCAGCTGGCTCCCTTCTTCGTAGTAAGTTGATTTGCCCAAGTTCTCTGGCTCCTGTCCAGTGGAGGAGTGAGCCTCTCCAGTCCAAATGCAGGGGAGGGTGGGCAAGCAGGTAGATGGGCAGGCAGGCAGGTCAATGCTGGGGCAGTACCTCAGCTCCTCCCCAGTACAGTGTGCCTGGGTACACACCACCTTGCACTTGCCTGCCACTCCACTCACAAAGACAGACAGGCAGACAGATCCCACGGACCTGAAGAGGAAAGAACAAGGAAACATCAAAGAAGGCATGAAGGGCCGGGGGGAAGAAGGTGTCCGCTCTCTCAAACTGACGGAGAGGTGGCCAGGCCAATACCTACTGAAAGACACAGTTTAGATAGTAGCATAAGACCTTATTTCCATACAATACCAACCTGAAGTTCCCCCTGTCCCCCCATCCATCTTCATTCCTATCCTCTCAGTACAGCATACCTTCCCTCCCTCTCTACCCACCCTCAACAGAATGGAGAGGGCTCTCCTTCAGTAGGAACCTAGGCGGTGTTTTCCTGGGGTGGGGCAAATGGAAAGCCACTGCTTAAAATATTTTAATGCCCTTAAAACCCAATTGCCTGGTGAATGAAGGTCAAACTCCTCACTCCCACATTCAAGACTTCCCACAATCTGGATCCAACCTACCCTCCTCAAGTATATCTTCAGCTAAATGAGAGTACTGGCTGCCCTCTTTATGTAACCTATGCTTTCCTACATGGAACTTCTGCCAACTGTTTTCCATCCCAGAATGTCAGCCTGCTTTCACCTCCCTACCACTCTGCCATCTATGGGCTGAAATCATACTCATTCTTTAAGATCAAACTCCAGTGCCACCTCCTTCATGAAGCCTCCCCCGATTCCCTTTGATGAAAGTCATCTCTGCTTCATCAAAATTCTTATGACATCTTATATATACCGCTCTCTGTATTTTAGCTATTTCTGTCCATATGCTATCTACCCTACTAGACAGCTAAGAGTAAGGATGGACCCTGTCACTCATTGGTGTATCCCCAATGCCTAAACCTTGTGTCTTAGTAGGTACTTAATGTTTGTAAAAAAAATGAGTGAGTAAACAAATAACAGAATACTAGTGCTGGCTGAGTGCTAGACTTACATTCAGGTGAGTAAGTTTCAAATATCCCCTCATACAAAATTGTGTGACTGTGCAAATTACTTAACTTCTCAAAGTCTCAGTTTCTTCATCTGTAAAATGGGGATAAAAGTATTTGCACTACTTAACCTCATAGGATTACTGTGAAGAAAGTGCATTGTAAACCCTAAAGTACTACATAAATATGAGTTATTGTTCTTATCTAGTCCAGAATTGAACATCTCAAAGTTGGAAGGAACTTCAAAGGTCATCTAGTTCAATCTTCATGACCATTCAATCCACTTTACCATATACTTGACAAATAAGCATCCAATCTTTCTTGAAGAAACTTCGGTGAGGAGAAACTCACTACCTCCCACAGTACCTCATTTCACTTTTACACAGCTCCGTCAGAAGTTTTTGGTTTTTTTTGGCATGGAGCCGAAATCTATCTTTCTGCCATCCCTATATAGTGTAGAATTAGGATTTAAATAGAACTAAAGCTAAGCCCTTTTTCACATGCTAGTTCAAATACTTGAAGACAATTACAATGTTCCCCCAAAGTTTTCTACATACTAAACATATTCAGTTCCTTCTGAGAATCTTCACATGGCATGATCTCAAAACTCAGATGGCACAATCACAATCATTCTGGTCATGCTCCTCTGGACACTCTCCAGCTTATCAATGTTCTTTCTACACTGTGACACATAGTCCTGAACACAATACTCCAGATGGGATCTGAGCAGGGTGGAGTGCAGAGGGACAATTACCTTCCTAGTCCTGGTGTCTCTCAGAGAGGCCTAAGGCTGCATTTCAGAAAAGGAAAGAAGCTGAAAAGGAGACTGGAGGACCAGACTTGATTCTGACAAACAACAAATGGGTACTGCAGCAGAAATCAATTGAGCCAACTTCTGACAAAGATGGCTGACTAAACAACAGAGTAAGCCACCCAGCTTACACATAACTACTCCAACAAAACCCTAAAATTCATACTACACCAAAAGTGATCCAGAAGCATCTTCCACCTCAAAATTGTCAGAAGTGTAAGGGAAAGAGGAAAAGGAGGTTCCTTTCCACTTTAAGCAAAGAGATTGTCATGTAACCAGAGATAAGACAAATGAAGCTAATAAGACTTTAAGCTGAGAGGCAGCAAAATCAGAGGGTTCCCTTTAGAAGGCCCTAAAATGGTCAAAAAGCCCTACACTGGGGACCTTGAAAGCCTCAGGGAACAGTACCAGGCAGTAACCAACCAAGTGCTGACCAACACAGTACAGACAGACTGGGACAGTAATGGCTATTATATTACTTAATGCTCTGTCCTGACATATCAGAAGGGGCCCTAAAGATCCAGTGCTTTGAACCTCAAAGATCCAGGGCAGCCTAAACCCAAGAAGTAGAGGTCATCCCTAGTGCCCAGGGGACCCAAGGTAAGATAAAGCAGGGCTGATCATTCCACTCAAAATGCAGCAAGGTATAAACCCTGGATTTGGCACAATGATGGAATCCAGGTAATGAAGCTAGAGAGATAAATACATAAAAGAACACATCCATAAGTATCAATAATTATTGCATGTCTGACCCCATAACAACCATAAGCATAGGAAAAATGGATTTATGAATATACCTAGAAAAAATAGACCAAGAGATATAAAAATGAAACAAAAGCCCTGAAGGAAATAATTGGAAGATGAGTAAGTAGCTTAGAAGACAAGTGGTAAACTTTACCCAAGAAAGAAAATCTCTGAAAACCAGAATAGGCCAAGTAGAAATGAATGGCTCCATGACATAGTAAGAAATATTAGAAGAAAATCTAAAGACTGAAAAAAATGGAAGAAAATTTAAGATAATTGAGATAAAAAACAATTTATCTGGAAACAAGTCAAGAGAAAATTTAAGAATCAAGGGGCAGCTAGATGGCGCAGTGGATACAGCTTTGGCCTTGGAGACAGGAGGACTTGAGTTCAAATCTGACCTAAGAAAACTTGACACTTACTAGCTGTGTGACCCTGGGCAAGTCACTTAACCCTGACTGCCTCATCAAAAGAAAAAAATTTAAGAATGGACTCCTTAAATACCATGATTTTTAAAAGCACTAGGCACTCTTTTACAAGGAATCACAGATGAAAATTACTCAAATCTATCAGAACCAGAGGACAAAGTAATGATAGAAAGAATTTACCCATCATGTGCTGAAAGGAACCCCAAAAGGAATAGTCCTAGGAATGTCAAAGCCAAAATCTAGAACTGTTATATCAAAGAAAAAAAATTGCAAATATCCAAAAAGACAGTTCAAGAGCCAAGATGCTACAGTCCAGTTTACATAGGACCTAGCAGCTCTGCTTCAAAAGACAAAAGATATGAGGCTTATAATCAAGAAAAACTTACTCTGCAAAACTAAATGTAATCCTACAGGGAAAAAAATGGATTTTTAATGGAATTGAGAACTTTCAAGTATTTCTGATGAAAAGACCATAGCTGAGGTAAAAATGCTGAAATGCAAACATAAGGGTCTGGAGAAACCTAAAAAAGTGCATTTATTTGAGCATCTGGAAGGAGCTACATGATGATATGGCGCTAATGTTCTAATGGGGGAAAAATAAACAAATGGTCCTTCAAAATTTTAATGTCTTCATGGGGTACTGAGGGAGTTCAGTTAGAAAAAGAGGTCCTAGGGTAGACTGATTCTGTTCTGATAGTATGATGAGGTGAAAGAGAAGGAAGGTAAAAGGAGGAATACACTAGTGTAGAAAGGAAAAACAACGATGTTGAACTTGCTATTGGCAGCTAGATGGTGGTATGGATAAAGTGCCAGGCCTAGAGTCGGGAAAACCTGAGTTCACATATGGTCTCGGACATGTAATTGCTGTGTGACCTTCTAAGAGTCACTTAAGCTCTGTTTACCTCAATTACCTCATCTGTAAAAAGGGGATAATATCTACCTCTCAGGGTTGTTGTGAAGATCAGATGACATAATACTTGTAAAGTGCTTAGCACTATTATCACTATTATTATCACTATTATCATCATCATCACCATCATTACCTTAAAAATGGGGTGTGTGAGGAGAAGAATATGCAAACACGGAAGAATGGGCAGGGAGAGCGGGCATCAGCTGAACCTCACTCAGCTGAAATGGACAAAGGTGAGTTAACAAAGACATACACAAGAGTCTGGTGTGAAAATACATAAAACTCAACAGGGAAACAAGCTTGGATAGGAAAGAGGGGAATTAAAAACAGAGGATAACACCAGGGAGAGACTAGGCAAAAGCAAAGCAAACTTTCCAATCTTAAAGGGAGGAATTAAAGGGGTAAGAATTCAAGGGAATGGATGAATGAATTGTGGTAAATGAATGTAATGGAATATCAAGCAAATATGAAATGATTTAGAGTGAAGTGAGCACAACCAGGAGAACAATTTACATAAGGAAAAGAACAATGTAAATAAAAATAACTTTGAAAGAACTCTGATCAAAGCAATAAACTATGATGAAACATGTATACACACCACTTGACAGAAAGGTGAGGGACACAAGGGGTAGAAGGAGATAAACATTTCTGGACATGGCTACTGTATGGGTTAATTTTGATTGGCTACGCTTATTTGTTACAAGTTTAGTATGTTTGTTTTCTTTTTCTCTTGGTTATTGGAAGGGAGGAGAGAAGGGTGTTGGGTAGGTGGTAATAGTGATGTCCAAAAAGAGGGTCACTGCAACATTTTTTTAAATGCACCCAAGTGAGAAGGTGGAGCCAAGATGGCAGAGAAAAGGCATGGACTCACCTGAGCTCTCCCAAATTCTCTTCCAAACAACTCTAAAATAATACCTCAAAATGAATTCTGGAGTGGCAGAACCCACAAAAGGACAGAGTGAAACACTGTTCCAGCCCAAGGTCCTGATAATTTAGGTCAGCTAGGAACGGTCTGTTGCACTGGAGTGAAACTGTGGCACAGTGCAGTGCAGGCACCTCCCCAGAAAGCCTGCAGTATGCAGCGCCTTAGCAAGCTTTGGGGGCAACTGAATTGGCAGCAGCAGCTCCTGGAACTATTAGCCCACAAATGGTAAAGGGATCAGGCAACTGTCAGGAGGAGATTACAAAAAAAGTCCCTTTGCTGGCATGGGGTGGAGAACTCTGTTACATTGCTACCACGTGGATCTGGGTTGCAGTCCTGGACCCCTAGTCCCAGGGCCAAGAGGAACACTAGCACACACAGCTTGTAGCTGCAGGGGAGTGGTGACCCTGGTTACAGTTCCAGGGCAGAGAAGAGAGTATGAGATCACTCACAGAACATAGGCCAGGAGAACAGTAAACACATCTCTCCTTAAATCATACCATTTTGAAAGAACTGAAAAC